TTTTCTCCAAAAAACAGTTTCCAAATCTGAAAAAAAATTATTTTTTCATTTCCAACAAAAAAATATTTTTTTTTTTTTTTTTTTTTTTAAGAAAAAAAAAAACACTAATAATTAACACAGCACATTCTGGACTAATTAGTATCTGAATAAAATCACTTTATGTACTGTAAACTGGGTAGCATGTGAAAAAATGAGCTTTTTATCATCCTGCAAATATATCACTTATTATTTGGCAACATCCTGTTTGTTAAACCTGCTGACAGCTGGAGCTCAACCCTGATAAAAACACATTTTCTGTAAATGAAGAATGTAAAGACAGTCTGAGGACAAACAGCTTGTGCTGCGTTCAAGAGCCACGAAGGTAAAACAGGTTGCACTGCGACGTGAACGTCACGTGCTTTAATGTAAATATCACTGTTTGTCTATCATTGCTAACGTTGATGAATCCGTTCCTGTCGCTGACATGCAAGTGAATGAGTTTAATTTATTTGAATGGTTGCAAAGATTAATTAGAATCGTATTTATGTCAAACTTGTCTGTGGTACAACTGTGAAATAAAAAAAGCGAAAGCAACAAACGACTGGAAATGATTCAACTGTTTTCACACTTTCATTCATTATTCATTGGTGAACAAAATATATATATAAAAAAAAAACCCTGATTGTTTACAACTTCTATGCACCTGTTAGCCACACAAATGCCAAATAGAAATACCATGTTTGTTTCTGTGTAGACTCTGCCTGTTGTAAAAACTCCTGCTGGTTGTTTCCTGCAGTTGTGCAATGCACATCAAAATTTCCACATCAGCTGCAATTTGCCAAAAGGCTCCAGATATTAATTACTAGGTGGTGTTTACTGATAGCCAAATAATTAAACTAATGAAGGGAAGCAACGCAATCAAAAGCCTAATGGTGAGCGGTCACACAAGGCCATTTTTTAACAGCAACAGCACATTTAGCTGAACTGACTCAGACTTTTATTGGGCACCAGTGTGATTGAGGAGCAGGTCGGTGTACAGCTGATGAGGTGTGTTTTCACCCCATGTTAGACCACAACCACATGTGAGATTACATGATTTCATAGAAGATCCTGACTCTTTTTAGCACAAAAAACAAGTTTCTTTAAAAACTGGAATTGTAGTTTGTTATCTTGTTTGCCAATGAGACTGTTCGTTCAGTTTCACTGGTAACCCAGTCTTTTATTCTCCATTCACACAGTTGTGAATGGAGAATAAAGGACCAATCCTTTAAAAATGATTTGTGTTTTATAGAGTGGGAAAAGGCTGAAGGAAATCAAAAGCAACCACACAACATGCAGACAAATTCACATATGCAACATGGCTCTCAGAGTGAACATCCACCTGTTATAAATGTCCAGATTTATGTTGAAAATTTTAAAAAGCAAAAAGGTGCATGAATATAAACTCATGCTTTGTTTTGCCCCTGTGTTTGCACCTAAATCTGATTAACCAGAAACAGTTCAGCTGTCACTTTCATTCCTGCATGGCTGCAGCTGCCTCCAGTGTCCATGCATGTGTCTGGATTGAGCTACATAGAAACAGTTATTACAAAATCAAATAGTTGAATCTCCCTCTGTAATAAATAAAGTATGTATTATTCAGCTGAGTTAAATGACTTCTGCCATTGGTAAAATGTTCATAACACGTCCCTACAAATGACAATTGAGTGTGCAAAGCAAATAATATGCACACCATACATACATACATACATACATACATACATACATATATATATATA